AGCTGCTGTAGTGGTTGTTGGTGCTGCTGTAGTGGTTGTTGTAGCTGCTGTAGTGGTTGTTGGTGCTGCTGTAGTGGTTATTGTAGCTGCTGTAGTGGTTGTTGGTGCTGCTGTAGTGGTTGTTGTAGCTGCTGTAGTGGTTGTTGGTGCTGCTGTAGTGGTTGTTGGTGCTGCTGTAGTGGTTGTTGGTGCTGCTGTAGTGGTTGTTGGTGCTGCTGTAGTGGTTGTTGGACCTGCTGTAGTGGTTGTTGTATCTGCTGTTTTGCTAGTCCACCACCACCACCATGGTGTTGTTGGTGCTGCTGTAGTGGTTGTTGAGGGTGCAGTTGTTGTGGTAGTCCACCACCACCATGGTGCTGTGGTTGTTCTAGTGGTTGTTGGAGCTGTTGTTGTGGTGGGCCACCTCCACTGCCATGATGTTGGTGGAGTTGTTCTAGTGGTTGATGGAGATGGACTAGGCCACCACTGCCATGATGTTGGTGGAGTTGTTCTAGTGGTTGATGGACTAGATGGACCAGGCCACCACTGCCATGATGTTGTTGGAGTTGTTCTAGTCACTGTTGGTTCAATGAGTCCTAAAGCTTGTCTCTTTCTCCTAGCAAGCAGTGGATATTTGCGGCTTCTCGAACCATCCGAGTAGAAAAGATCAATTTGGCCTCGTGCATAGTCTTCTACCACCATCTCAAAACCAAAAACTGAGGCACTGGTACTGGCATATTGATAGTGTAATGTGCAAGAGTCCTGACAAGGTAAATACCAGTTATAAATAATAAATTAATAATTAGGGTAACACATTTGTGTCTTTGTGCATGACAAACTGATATGGATGAACCTTTGAACTGACCTGATCAAGTTGGAATCCTGAGATTGGGTAGCAGTTGTCACATTCAATGTTTGGGACATTCCCATACCTGCATCGGACTCTGTCACCATCAGGATCAAAGGAGGCCAGCCTGTATGTCCTTGGGCAGTTCTGCGGAATTCTTGATTAGATGCCAAAACAAGTTAGAAACAGATTCCTGCAAATGACTATTTATGAAATATCTATTGCGTCTGAAATAATTTATTGAACAGGAGTGGGTTTGTGAAATATCCATTCATATCTGTATTCTACTAGGTTTGGGAAAAGCCAGTGTAAAAAACTGAGATTCAAACATTAGGACAGTTACCTTATGAAGGGTAGAATAGCAATATCTGGTGATCTGTTTGGTTGCCTTGTGTCAGATCTTATTCCCAAATCCACAAGAGAATTTAACCTCCAGTTACTGACTGAGTTACGTGTTGAGTTCCAGCAACAGCTAGCCGCCCTGATATGATGAAAAGACAGGATAATATTTATTCTGTTATAAAGAAACAGTTTCTCCAGGTAGTAAAGTCTGAAGTAACAGGTAAATAATAAACTTTTCTACTTTTATAAGTAAAAATTGCCCACCTTAGCTGAAACGGCTTGTCACTGCTCAGTCTCCTTGTCTCTATGTTTTCTGTTTCACACCATTCTCTGTCGTATATTGGTGCATTGGTGCTGGAGTCAATTGTGTTTGTCGATCTACTATATGTGCTGCCACAGTTGCCAGTGTAGCAGTGCCAGTAGTGGTTGTACTGGCAACCATCATAGGTGTCTCTGGCTCGCAGGGCTACCTGTGGGGAGGAAGCAAGAGGAGTTTTTATACAGTCCATTTCCATCTGAAACTTTGATGCATAAACAACATATTCATCAAGAAACCTCGCCTAATGCATCTGCTTAGAACCTGGAGGTGCTTACTCTGATTTTAAATTCTTCCAACATGATAAACTGTATTTAAATTTATTAATTATTGGGAACGGAGCATCACAGAGATGTGGTTTAATACAGAGATTCTTAACCTATGGGCCGCKGCCCAATTGTGGGCCTTGAGCACCGCCTTGAGGGCCTCAAAAGAACTACAGTTTTTAACTTTGGGCCT